GCATCCTCCTTTGTTCCTCAGGATAATGCTGAACTGTGGCTAGTAAGCCAGAGCAGATTTCAGAACATATTTGTTTGTGCTCTTGCTGTAGCGGGTTTCCGAACCTAACGCAATGTGTTCCTGCTCGGGACGCTCTGTTCTCTTCAAAAAGCAACTATGTATCCACCGAAGAGTCCTTGTTATATAGCTTACTGAGGTCAGTGCTAATAAATTACAGGCATAAGGAAAACGATGACAAGCGTTTTCCATGGAGAACAGGGTTTTTTTCACTTGATTATTTCCTAAAGTCATGCCCTTCTCCCAGCAAGATACTCCGATTTTAGACAACAGGAATAGCAACTCTGTGTATTGCTACTTTTCACATGGTAAAACCAGAACACCTGTCACATTAGCAGAGCAAACTTTCAGAGCAATTCATCCTCCTAGCAATGGAATTAGTCAAGTAATGATGATTATATTGTTAATTAAGTGTTTGCTTTGTTACTGTGGCTCAACAGGGAACACTAAATTAACTACAGTTGTTTACTAATCCAGTTCCCCCAACCCCCAACACACATACACACACACACACACACACACCTCTATACTCTTTGTTGGAACTTTTTGGAGCAGATTCCTTGATTTCTGGTATAGGTTTTACTTTCAAAATCTGGATAAGGCTCAAAAACATAACAGCCAGAATTTTATAGGGTTTTAAGGTTTGCTTCTTACAACAGCTCAATAAAGTAGGTATAATTATTATATCCATTTTTTTCAGAGACGGAACCAGGATGAGAGAGGCTGTGACTTTGCTAGAGTCAGACTATCTAATAAGTGTCTGAGGCAAGACTTGAACTCAGATCTTCCTGGCTGCACTTCTGATGCTCTATCCACTATGCCACTTAGCTGCTTCATTATCATATCTGTATTACATAGAAAAATTCTCTAACATAACATTGCAAGATAAGTAGTTTGCTATTGTTATTCCCACTTCATGAGGAAATTAAGGTTGCAATTTGTCTAGAATCCTAGATACTAGTAAGTGTCAAAGCCTGGACATTCATGTAATTTCAACAAACTAAGACATGTTAGCAATAGGACGTGATCCAGAGATTTAGGGCTCCTCATAAGACCTGGATATTTGGGGTTTTTTTTTTCATAAGCCAGTACATGGCTGGCTAAAGAGAGGGCATAGGTCTATTTTCCAAAGTCATTTTGTTGGGGCGGAGGGGGTTGACATTTCACCCCATCACACCCCTTTGGAAATGGTTGTCATTTGATAGCATTGTCTCTTTAAGATTTGTAGCCCTCTCCTAGAATTACATGCTTCTACGGAAATAGCCTCTCTTTTTTATCACTTGGAAAAACATTAACTTTGTCCCTTTGAGTACCCACTATTCCTACCAAGGAAGTTTTTACTTTTCTTCTTTGAGGGACAAAAGCAGCCATTTTTCTTTTAAAGAACAGGAGAGGGGGGAGGGAATACTGTGCCCTTGATCCCTTTCACTTCAGACATTTCACTCCACCAGGGAGCCTGTCCTAAAACTTTCCCCAAGTCTGACTTCCAAGCCAACAATACTAGGGTGAGGGAGGGGGAGGGGGTGCTGGAAAGGAGTACAGCTTTCTGTCATCCTCACACATATACACACAAATCAACCAGCTGCAGAGGGAGCAACAGGAGGTGGCAGGATGCTTGCCACCGAGTCTCTGAATTTTTAAGCATCCTCTCCATGCTGTGACCAAAACCCAGCCATTCTCTGAGTTAGACACAGCTTGAGAATTTAGAAACCTGGCCAAAGCAGCATTAACTCTAGATCTGTTGCAAGAACCACACAGGCTAGTCATTCATTCTCCCAATAAATATTTATTGAATGTCTGCCATTTGCTCAGCAATGAATTAGGTTTGGGTAAGAGATGTCTGGCCACTCCCTTGAAAAAATTTACAATTTTTGAGGAGATAAGATATACACAGAGAAAAAGTTAAGTTATAATAGAAAAGCTCTTGAAAGGCAGCATATTATCAAATGCCAAATGAGTAGTACAGTTGGCTCTTTAGAAATTTTAGAGAAGAGATAAATTCTAAGGTCTCTTTCAATTCTGAAGCTTATGTTTTGAGTGGACAGAAAGCCAAACTGATCAATGACAGATAGACAGACAGAAAGACATATAGATATAGAGAAAAGCATTTATTAAGTGTTCACTATGTGTCAGGCACTGAGTAATACCATGAGCTTGAATAGTCAGGTAGGGCTTCTTCTAGAAGGTGTGACCTGAGTTGGAATTTGAGTATGGACAAAAAAAAGGAGAATGCTGGATGAGTATGGAAGAAAAAGGCAACCAAACAAAGCACCTATATTCTTTTTTGGCAGTGTTTGTTGAGAGGAAAAGCCTAACCTCTTATCAGTCCATACTACCATCTGCCTAAAAGGACTTCATAGACTCAAAGGCAAAGCTAAAAGACACCTTTAGAAATCACCTAATCTAGCCCTCACATTTTATAGACGAGGACCTTGAAACCCAAAAGATGAAGTGACTCATCCTATGTTGAATATCGAGTTATTAAGGGAAAATCCAACTTTTTGCCACTTATTAACTGCCTCCGAAGTGACAGATCTGCTGTTTTCAAGTCCAGTGCTTTTTCTTTATCCCCCCCCCATATTTTCTTGTCTTTTGTACTTAAAGGAGACCTACTTCATGTGTGAAATCAGTCAACAGATATTCGTTGTTTTAAATCATCCCCTTCCTTTATTTTCCCCATATGAGTGGGGAGCGCTTAGTGGGAAGATCTCACTTCTTTGGGTTTCTGTTTCTACTGAAGTTTTGAGATCAAATGAGCAAGTGATGACCCTGGAAGAAAGAAAAAATAGGAGCTGTGTAGGAAGAAAACAAGAGACACTGTAAGAAATATGCCTAATACTGGTAGGGTATGGTCTAGCACAGAAGGAAGACAGGGCTGGGACTTAAAAGAACTTCCTCTCCCAACTCTGCCACTACAAAGCCATGTGCCCTTAAGTCATTTCCCTCATCTGTAAAATGAGTAGAATGCCTGCCCTACCCACTTCATGGGACTGCTGTAAGGATTAAATGAGAAAAAAGATGTGAAGACTCCTTATAAAGATTTTAGGTGATTTAGCAGGAGAGAACTGTGGTGTGGTGGTGTTTCACTTTATTTTTTGTCTGGACCTATGATTTTATCCGAGTAGGGGAACCCTCCCCCCAATCCATGTGTGGAACAATTAACATAATTCTTAAGCGATTTCCAGGAGGCACTTAGAGGTTAAGTGACTTGCTCAACTCATCCAGCTAGTCTGTATCCAAGCAGTAATTGAACCCATGTCTGTGTGATGCCTAAGGTAGCCCCTCCATCCATTCCCCAGACCTGCCCCTTCTAACGCTATCAAACTGAACCTCCCTAAAATGTCAGCCTCTGAGACATTCTGCTAAATTCGAGCTCTCCAGTTGTTTTCAGGGTGCTGGACAAAAGAACGCTAAATGGGAAGGGGACTGGGGGACTAGGACCTTCATCAGCCAACCGGGAGGGAAATGAGACGTGGATTTTCCACTTTGCAGGAAAAACGGATCTCCATCCTCTGAAGAAACTGAGTCGCGAACTTTTATTTTCACAAAAAAAAGATTTCCTATGGGCACCTGAGGGGCTCTAAAGTTGGGGTGAATGGTCTGGTTTGGTTTCTATATTCCTACAGAGACGATGGTTGGATGGGGTCAAGAAAAATGCCCAACCTACTGCAGCTTCGCATGTCCTTTCTTGCTCTCGCCTCCCAACTCTTCTTAGATTGCACAGCTCCCCCTACCTTATACAGATATAACGCCCATCCTGGTGACAGAAGGCTGTGGGGCCGCCGAGGAAAGAAGAAAGAGGGCAGATGAGGTTGGCTTTCTCTTGTATGTACCTGCAGCTCGTTAGTCTAGCATCCAAATCGTGCACTGAGTCCCCAACTCCCCAACCTTGGCTGTCCTGGCTCCTTTCTCATCAAGCTAACACAAGATTTGTTTCCTTGTTCATCGCCCTTGCAAAAACCATACCCCACTGTTCCACTCTTCTCCCAGCGTTCTCACTGTCTTGAGAAACACCTTAATAAATGCTTGCTGATTAACTGATTGATTGAAATAACCATTTCCCCTCTTTTTATGAGAGAAGCACTAAATTTGGTTGAACCTCATCTCCCTTCTTCATACAGTACCATTCTATTCTGCACTTAAGTAATTTGGACTTTATTAAGATTATTGACCAGGGAATACATATACGCCGCGATTAATTTATTTTTCTCGAATTACTTCACCCTCAACTTGCCTGACACGTTGAAAGTAAAGTCTCTGACTCTTACGGGTTTTGTATTCTGCCCCCTCGTTCTCATCCCTTTAGCATTTAAATTGTTCAATACGTGATTTTTGATTTAGTCTTATCCTTCGCTCCTGGCCCCACTTTCCCTTTTTACTCATTAAGTGAAAAAATCTCAAATAGATGTTCCCTTACTGAATCCCTCTTTACAGAAAAAAAAAAAAATCAAAGGATTCTGACCTGCTGTAATGAAAACTGCCCTGAACTGAGATTGGAAACTCCTGGCTCTGCTAGAGAAACCAGCTCTATGACCTTAGGCAAGTCTCTTCTGGTCCCCAGTTTACCTTATTTGTGAAATAAAGGGTAGGACAAGACGGCTCCTTCCAGCTCTAACATCCTACGTTCAAAGGGATTCTAAGAGAATCCTTTTTCATACAGAGGAGGACCTAAATAGGGGCCAAGTCTATGTTCCTCCTTCTCAGTTCTTTCCCCACCTTCCCCGCCAAAAAAACAACACTACGTGACGAAGTTCATTGCGTGCATTGCACCGGGGCTTCCCTAACAGACTCCGCCAGACTAACCGCAGTACCCTTCTCCCGCCCCTTGTCTCCCCCCTTGCCCTCCCCGCTCCTCCCCCACCTCCCGCCCCGTCTATTCAAAGGACTCAAAGCAAGCCGTTCTCCCTCCCTGCTCCATCGGGTAGGACGCATGCGCCCTTCCGCCTCCGAGCGTGATTTATAAAAGTCGGTTCTCCGAGAAAGTTCAGAGTTTGTTGGTTGTGGCTGAGGATTGTGAAGTGATTTGGAAAGTAGTGTGTTTGGGCGGAGGCTGCTGTTACTGCTGCTTGCTGCCTGCTGCCTGCTGCTTGCTGCTGCAAGCATGAGTTCGAACAGCGGAGATGATCTGGATGTAAGTTCAGTTTTGATCTCCTTATTTCTCTGGTTGCAAATGCATTCTCTTAGAGCAAGCTCTTTCCCTTGGCAGACAGAGACCGCAGCTGCCCGACTGCATAACTTTTGGAAGATGCCCGTTTGCAGGGCTCACAACTTTAAAAGGGGCAACTGGCAGTAGTTATTTCTAAGGGTGGTGGGATGAAATAGAAGTAGGGCTTGCAGCTATCTCTTTTTTTCCCTGAGATTTGACTTGGACTGCTGAGCTGAGCGCGAGTAAGTGGGTAGGACCATGCACTGGTTTGGTTTCTTGCGCGTTGTTTGCAAACAAAAAGGTGCATTCAGTGCAGATGTGGGAAGAGCCTGAGAAGGAACTGGTTCCTGGGAGCCCTGAGGAAGAGAAGGCAGGAATTGGGGCAGACGGCCGCTCTAGCGGACCAGGGAAAGAGAGAGAAAGTGAACTCCCGGGTGACTTTTATAAAGGATGCGCCCGGTTTTCTATCCAGTAGGTGCGTGTGCACCTCACTCGGAGTTGTTCATCGTTCCCAGGTGCAACCTGGAAAAGGAAGGGGCGAAGTTAACATTACTTATTCCCTCTCTTCTGCCTTCCATCCCACATGAAGCGATCAGTCCCATGCCTGAAGATGAACTAGATTCTTTGTTGGGGAAGACTGGCAGAGAGAGTGGAGGGTTGGACTTGGAGTAATTCAGAAACTCCCTTTGGAGACTGTAAGTCTTTTACTGAGTCTTAAAAGCCTATGGTATAGGGTAGCATTGCTGTTTCTTTAGAATTGGGATTTGCAGACGCCGTGCGGTTATGGTAGGTCAGGAGCTTGGGAGCTCCGGGATCTCTGCTTTGGCGTCGGGCGTCTCCAGGCAGTGTGTGGGTGGTTTTGCCTTCAGGCTATGCGTCGGGGTCAACTCTCGGAGCTCGACTAGGAGGCGCGCGAGGTTGGGGAGATATTTACCCGGGAGGGCGCGCTATTCTCTTATGCTAAATGGCATCGAGGGGAAAAGGGATGGTGAGTGGGTGTGGTGGGTGCAAGTGTACGAATCGGTTTGGTTCAAATGCTACTGTTTAACTGTAGGCGGTTTCCTCTTGCTTTTTGAATCCCCCCCCCACCCCCTAGTTTTCGCTTCCTTCCACTATGGCGCGCGATTCAAAGGTAACCAGGGTGGAGCAGTCAGATTTTCTAAAATGCTCAGCAGCATGCCCAGGTCGAGTCGGCTAGGGGTACGGGGTTGTGGAAGGGGCTTTGAGGGCTCTGGCCAACCTATTCGTGTGGGGAAGGGTATGTTGAACGGTCCAGAGGGGAGGGAAGGAGTGTAGAGACTAGAGTGCCTTGAGGGTGGTGGACAGTTTATATTCGCACTGGACAGCAGGCTGATTGCTTCCCGGTGCGCGAGTCCCAGCTGCCACCCTCTAGATCCCATTAGACCGGCCAGTGTTGGGGCACTGGGGCGGAGGGTGAGTGGATGGGAGGGAAGTGGGGAGGGGGAAACTTTGGTATTAGACCGTGGTTGATGTTGGATCAAGTGAGAGGGAGGAAATGAAACTTGGGGCGAGGAGGTAGAGTCCAGAACGCGTGACCCAAACAGCAGCTCCTTCTCCACCCAGAGAAGCGAAGATCCGCTCAGCAAACTACAAGAATAACCCGAAGGAATAAACACTTGGGGGGTGGGGGTCGGTATTAACGAGCAAGGTGTTTTACATGCCTGCCAGACACACCTCAGGCATACTGTTTTGGCGGATTCCCTTATCCTAACTATATGTGGCTCCAAAGACAAAACAGTTTGTGCTTTAAAAAAAAAAAAGTTGCCTCAGTAGAGAACAGGGTCCTTTGATGCTGGTAAGCTGTCCTTTCTTCATCTCCAGTTTTTCTTGCTATTATGCTTTGACCAGGCTAAGACGGATTGAATCCCCCTCCCACCCCAACCTGTCCCCGCCTAGAAGAAAGAATGTCTCTTGAAGTTTCTTTTGGTGGGCTCAGCTTAGAAATTCCATCAGATGTTGAAGTTAACAGAAAAATCTAAGATATTACATTGTTTTAGGAGTTGTAGATGAGGAAAGGGATGGGGAATTTTAAAGAAATGGTATTGTAAGGATACTCTACCCTTCACTAGGAAAGTTGTTTCCTAGAAGAATTTTTATTGGGGGGGGTGGAGAGTTTGGATTGCTTTTGTTTAAAAAAATAAAAAGGACCTGGAGTCGTGTAACGTGATAGATAAGTACTGGGTTTGTAATTTCCTGTCATTTACATTTCTTATTCTGTTTCCTTGCAGTCCTTTACAGGCTTCATCATTGAGTTTCATGATAACAACGGTACAGATGGGTTTGGCTCAGGTGATTACGATGGCAAAGAGCCATGTTTCCGGCATGAAAACGAGGATTTCAACCGCATCTTTCTACCGACAGTGTACTCCATCATCTTTTTGACCGGCATTGTGGGCAATGGATTGGTTATCATTGTCATGGGTTATCAGAAGAAGCTGAGAAGCATGACTGACAAGTACAGGTTGCACCTATCGGTAGCTGATCTTCTGTTCGTTCTCACTCTTCCTTTTTGGGCCGTGGATGCTGCTGCAAGCTGGTACTTTGGAAATTTTCTGTGCAAGGCAGTGCATGTCATTTATACAGTCAACCTTTATGGAAGTGTCCTGATTCTGGCTTTTATTAGTTTAGACCGATACCTGGCAATCGTTCATGCAACCAACAGTCAGAGACCAAGAAAGCTGTTGGCAGAAAAGGTGGTGTATTTAGGTGTGTGGCTTCCTGCTGTCCTGCTGACGATCCCCGATATCATTTTTGCCAACACAGGTGAAGCTAATGGGAGGTACTTTTGTGACCGGATGTACCCTAATGACAACTGGCTGATTTCTTTCCGGTTTCAACATATTTTAGTTGGACTTGTTTTGCCTGGCCTAATTATCCTGACCTGCTACTGCATTATTATTTCCAAGTTGTCACACTCGAAGGGTCACCAGAAACGAAAAGCTCTGAAGACAACGGTCATACTTATCCTGGCTTTTTTCGCCTGCTGGCTGCCTTATTACATTGGGATCAGTATAGACACTTTTGCTCTTCTAGAGGTGATCAAGCAGGACTGTGACTTTGACAGCGCAGTGCACAAATGGATCTCCATCACAGAGGCAGTGGCCTTTTTTCATTGTTGCCTGAATCCAATCCTCTATGCCTTCCTTGGTGCCAAATTTAAAACCTCTGCACAGAATGCACTGACATCAGTTAGCAGAGGCTCAAGCCTTAAGATACTTTCAAAGGGCAAGAGGGGAGGACACTCATCTGTTTCTACCGAGTCAGAATCCTCAAGTTTCCACTCCAGCTAACATCATCTTTCAAGACCTAAAAAGTTTTTTTTTATAATAAAAGAACTTTTTTTTAAAGTTACACTTTTTTTGAGATACAAAAGACTGACCATAATGTACAGCTTATTATTTACTGTTGGAATTTATTGTTTTTTTTTCTTTAGGGATGTTTGTTATGTTTAATTGATTTATTTATATAAATTTGTTCATGTTCCATGTTGATGAGTGTCTAGGCAGGACCTGTGGCCAATGCTTGGTTTGCAACTGTTAATATTTGTCTGACTGTGTAGCTGTAGAAAATGTGAACTTAAACACTTAGAGTGTGTGATGAATGACTTAAAGCTAGAAAACTCTGCTCAGCTGTTTGTACATAAGTAATCTTTCCATTCCAGTTTCAACTAGTTTTCCTCTGAAATTGTATGGTTTACACTAGTGTAATTCTGATGTAGACATTGGCACTTAGAACCAAAACCCTTGAGTCAAGTGTTAGATGGTGGTTTTTCAGTATTGGGTTAGTTTAATATCCTGCAGCATACAGTCTGTGTTAAGCTGTTAATAAAAGGAAAAGGAAAACTATTTGGTGTTCCATTTGTATCTCTGTGGTTGACTTTGTTTAGACTTTCTGATGCTAGTTAAAAGCTTTTCAGGTTGGAGCCAATGTGTTTGAAAGATGATCCTTCTAGCCCATAGTCGGGGGGGGGGGGGTGTTGGCAATATGAGATTGAGTTCAAAATATTTCAAATTTCCTTACATTTGGACTCTGAAAAAGCCCTGATCATTAGCGCTGTATCTAGATATGTACAATTTGACTTTTTAAAAGGGTATCTAAGCTTAGAATCATAACATAGCATTTAAGCTGGCTAAAGGCTTTCTTTATGATTTCTTCTATCTTGAGCTAATATGATTTGTCCTTAGAAATTACCATTTTCCTCCCAAGGAAAGTCAGTGAAACAGCTTAACATTTGACAGTGATGTCAGAGCTTAAGAGGTAAACTAAGGGTAAGCTAAAGCAGAGCCCATATTTCCAATTTTTGCACAAGATGAGTTGTGTAATGTAACAGTGTCTTAATTACATTAGATTGTGTAAGCCTCCAGGATCTTGAGCAAATTTCAGCTGCAGTTTCTATTTTAGAGATTTATACGATTTCCAAGAGTCAAAAAACACCTCATCACCTCTCTTTACAGCTGAAGCAGGTTGCTCTAGACAGGTCCTTCCAAATTCAGAACCGTGAAATAATTAAGACAATATTTGAACATTAATAATTATTTCTGACATAATCCATTTTGGGGGGAAAATTTAATGTCTTTCCTTTGTGAAACAAATCACATTTGTTCAAGGGAAATCATAGCTCCTTTGCAAGGAAAGCATTAGAATGGAATCCAATTCATTGTATATCTCACTATAGTGTGTAAATCTAGGATAATTTAAAGTGGTATTCAATTTTATTTGAGAATACAATTAGATTTTATATATACTTTATCTTTAGGTTTCTTGATTTTCCCTGGGAAAAATAATCTGATAAGCATTCACTTAGGCATAGTTTTACATTTAAATCTCCCAAATACCTCTTCAGGAAGAGATTACAAATGGGTTCACTTGAACCTTTTCTATAAATATTTATTCTGCCTGAGACAATAGAAGTTCTCCAAAGGAATGCTTTTTTCCTTCCTATCTGTTTAAAAACCCCTGCCCCAAATTCTTTTCCCTGCACTATGGAGTCACAACAAAAAGCAACTGAACCAAATCGAAAGGGACCCTCCTCCTTTTAATGGGTGTTTCATTCAAGTTTGGGACAAGGGTGGTGTAGTCTTTCTTTGAAAAAAGTATTGGGTCTCTTCCTGACCCCCTTTATCATTCCAACTCATCACTGTCCTTCCAAACATTGCCATGTCTCTACAGTGGCTGTATAAAAGCTGCCAACATCCTGGTATGTCTTAGTAACCTCACAATTCAGGGAAATCCATAGCCTATTTGCTATGCACTGAAGTAGCTGATTGTTTCTCTCCTCCTGTCTAGCTAAATTCCATTATGAATGGGGTCCTTGGAGGTCAGTAATGGAGCTCCAGTTGTATAATGTGAGCTAAATATTTGCATCTTAAGCCTGCTGCTAGAGATGGCATAAATATATCATCTAACTAGTGAGTACTAACAACAGGAACTCTACATAAACTGATTTGGGAGGGGAGAGGGTATGCTCTACATTTTTATATTGCAAAAGACTAATGAATTAAAATGCCTGCTCCACAACATATCAACTTCTTTTAAAATGTTGAAGTCCCAGCCCCCTTTTTCTGTGACTACGTGAACAGTTCAGGTGTACCTTTCACAAGTCTCCTTTTTCAGGAGTGCAAGTTCAAAAGACTATTTCCAAGAACACTGCCATATATGACTTGTTAACAAAACTGAAAACAATATTGTAACTCAGTATTTCAACTTTGCGCTGAGATAAGAAATAGTATGAACACCTAAAACTTTAAGCACCTGCTTTATGTCAGGCACTGTGAAAAGAGCTGGGGACGCTAAGAAAAAAATGATAATTGTCCTTACCAAGGACCTCACCTTTGTGTGCTGGGTTCATTTGGCCCTAGCAAATAATCCCAACCTTCTCCCAGGGAATATGAAATAACTTCCACTTTTGGAGAAACAGAGTTAGGGTAACATTAATAGTGGCTGAAAATTTTTTACACACCAGTTAAACATGAGTGAACTCAATGAAGCATTTAAATAATATGCCTATGAATAAATTAGTCTCAGAAATTGAGGAAAATGCTCTATAAAACTCTTTTTATGAGGCAAATGTCCTAATACCTAAACCAGGAATAGACAATGCAAAGAAAGAACTATAGACCAGAATCATTAATGAATATTGATTCAAAAGTTTTAAAGTTCTAGTTAAAAAAATTTGCAACATATCCAAAAGAATCACTGTGACCAAGTTTACTTATACCAAGAACATTAAAATGATAAATAATTTCAAACAGTTCCTTAAATGCCTACTATGGAAAAGGCCTTGGCTATAACAAGATAGGAAAAAACAGTATGTCTACCCAAGGAGTTTACAGTCAATAGGGGATAAGAAACACATAAATCGTTATACTATGTCAGAAAATTGGTGGTTAGGCAAAAGTCAAACAGCAGACCCAACCATTCTGGAGATGAGGAGAGTGGAGGCCTTTTATCTGTGGGCATCAGGGAGGACTTCCTGCATGAAGGAGATGCCATCTGAATTGGGCCTCAGAGATAGAGAAAGGGAGAGGAAAGAAAAGGAATGCGTTTCTGTCACAGAGTCAGGGTTAGGTTGGAAACAGAACAGTACAGAATTTGCAAAGAATCAAAAGGAGGTGGAGGTAAGTTGTAAAGGATCTTAAAATGTTCTCTCCTTCACTCCGTATGTCTTAATTATTTGGCAAGTCTTGATATCCACCTCTACGTTTCTCATTTCTCTCCTTGTTCCTACAGCCACCACACCTTCATTATTATTATCATTCCAACTCATCACTGTCCTTCCAAACATTGCCATGTCTATATAGTGGCTATATAAAAGCTAGAGGGTTGTAATAACTTCCTAATTGGTTTCCTGGCCTCAAATCTTTCTCCTCTCCAATCCATCCTCCGAATGGCTAACAAAAGTGATATTCCTTAAAGCACAGAATTGACAATGTCACTCCTCTGCTCAACAAACTCCCATGACTGTCTATTACCTCTAGGATCAAATACAGACTCCTATTTTTAGTATTTAAAGCCCTTCACAGGGCCTGGCACTTAGTAAGCCCTTAATAAATGCTTGTCTTCTGACTGACTGGTTTCACAACCTGATTACGACCTACTTTTCCAGACTCTTAACTACTCAGGATGCCAGACAATTCTCTAAGATAGTGGAGGAGGAAACTTCCTCACCCAGGACTTCTCTGTTCTAGTGAGCTCACAAATTTATTCCCCTAGCCCTATCCTTATTGTTGCTGTTATTATTTTATTACTATTCATAACTTCAATTTCCTCTGTAGCATTTGGCATTTACCGAGGCATAACTTTCTAGGGATGCTCGGGTCTTTCCATGTGTTCGTGTTCTGTCTCCCTCAACCAACTATAAACCCCCTGAGGACAGGGACCCTGTCCTTCATTTTTTCGTACGTCCCTTGACAGCCCTAACACAGAGCCACCACACAGTAGACACTCAGTAAATGCTTGTGAACTAACATGTTGTGAACAAACAACAAATGGGGAAAAAAAGAACAAAAGAAGATGAAATGCTAGAAGCACTATGAAAATTCTGAAACAGCTGAAAATTCTAAAGTTTTCCACAAAGCCTAGGCTGTCTCTAAAGACATTGATGTTTACTCACTTAATCCTCACCATCAGTCATGACTCAATTTGGATCACTTCCCATTTTCTTCAGGCTTTTGTTTGGTTGTATTGTGTATGTCTGTGTGTGTGTAATGGGGTTTTTTTTGTTATTGTTGTTGTTTTCTTTTAGAAAGGGAATGATTAGCTACCAGTTATTGTTCAGTCAGAAAATGTCTTGAGCTGTCCTGAATTAATTAAAGTCAGTCCCATTGCTTCCAACATTAAAATCTGCTGGAAATCCTAAGACTGAAAACCAAAGCTTTCGGACAGACCAGAGAGTTTCCATAACCTGACATTGGGAAAAGTATTTAAGGCAGAGGTTCTTAACTTTTTTTGTGTCAGGGACCCCTTGGGTAGTCTGGGAAAAACTATGGACCGCTTATCAGAATCATTTCTTTAAATGCATAAAATAGAATATACAGAATTACAAAAGAAACCAATTATATTGAAATACAGTTATCAAAGTATTTTTGAATGGACCCCAGGTTAAGAACTCCCCATGTTAAAGGAAAAATATATCACATTGAAATATGTGAGAGTTTAGTCAGAACACTAGGCACTATACACATATTGAGCAAAGGGAGAGCAGTGTACAGATTGGACTATTGTCTCTGGACCTCCTCTATACCCCCACTTCATTTCCATTTCACTGCTATTTCCTGGGTCTCCTCTTTTCCTTTCCATGTCCTTTGTTGGTTCTTTATTCTTCTTCTTGTCTTTTACTGTTGGCATATTCTGTCCTTGTCCCTCTTATCTCTCTGTGTTCTCTCCTTTGGAAACCAAATTTGCTCTTATAATTCTATGATTCATGTTCTGCAGTTCCTGCATACTCACTTCAACTTCCTACTTTTCCTATCTCCATCTCTAGCTGTCTACAGTGATCATCAATGCTCAGAACAAGGAACCCTGCACCCCCAAAAGATCCTAAGTTATAAGATTCAATTGTCATACATTCATAACATATTAATTCCTAAGACAAGAAAGTAAACTCAGGCATTGTAGAAAGATTTTCAACCTGAGTGGTGGAAAAATATGATCAAGAGTTGGCATTATATAGGGAGCACTTTAAGGTTTGCAAGGCATTTTACATCCATTATCTCATTTGATCCTGAAAACAACCCTGGGAAGATAGGCAGAGCAAGTTATTATTGTCCTCGTTTCACTAAAGAGAAAATCAAGAGTCAGAGACGTTAACTAACTTTGCCATGGTCACCTGGGTAGTAAATACTAG